GGGTGCCGGTCGAACATGACGGGCAGGAATTCATCCACCGGGATCATCTTTCCCAGGGGTTCCGCCTCCAGCAGCTTCCTGGCCCCGCTCAGGGACAGGGCGTATCCCAGCGTCCAGTAGGAATATCCCGCCTCCACCAGGTTCCGGACACCGGGAACGGGGCGCTCCGGGCGCTCCGGGTGCAGCCGCTTCCGGCCCAGGTAACTGAGGAGGAGGAGGAGGAGGAGAGGGATGAGGGGAGGGAAGTGGGATGGGGATGAGGGGGAGGAAGGTGGGATGAAGATGAGGATGAAGGCCCCAGACTCACATGAGGTCCCAGGGTGTCCCGGCCTCCTCCAGCTCCTCCATGAGCTCCGTGAGGCGCCGGCGGAAGAAGATCTCGAAGCGCAAATCGTCCTCGAACACCAAGGACTTGCGCAGCCCCCGCGCCGAGATCTGGGAACGATCCCCATCCAGGGCCATCCCGGGAGTCAGCTCAGCTCCCCCTTGCCTGCCCCCCCGTTCCCTGCATTCCCTGGGAGTCCCGGACCCCCCCGGACCCCCCTGGATCATCCCCAGACCCCTCCAGGATCCCCCAAACCCCCCTCACCTCCTGCCAGACGCGGAAGTGGCTGAGGAAGCAGCTCAGCTCCCCCCTGCCTGCCCCTCTCAATTCCATGGATACCCCCGGATCCCAATTCCATGGATACCCCCGGATCCCAATTCCATGGAGCCCCCGGAGCCCCGCCGAGACCCAGACCCCCCCCCAGGACCCCCCAGACCCCCCTCACCTCCTGCCAGATGCGGAAGTGGCTGAGGAAGCAGCCCACCTCCCCCCGGGTGAGGGGCCGCCCGTGGAAGGGGTCCCGGTATCCCGGGAGCATCCGGATCCCCAGCGCCTCCACCTCGCTGCTGTTCAGGGCCCTGCGGAGCCAGGGAGGCTTCCAGAGGGGGATCCCTTGGGAAAGATTCCCCCTGGAGACCCCCCCCCGGGAGCCCCAAACTCACCGACCGTCCACGGCTTCCACCAGTTTGCAGGAAATTCCCTGTTCCTGGAGCGTCCGGAGCATCCGCGCCCGGCGGTCGGAGCGGCGCTGCAGGTTGATCAGGAACACCTGGGAGAGGGGGAATTTGGGAATATCCACCCAAATC